GCTTTTATCCTCCCAGACGAGTCTGGTACCAATTCACCGACCCCGGAGGGATGGAAGGCTTGGTTGGCCTAGGCGGGCATCGATCAGGGATTCGAACCCCTGACCGTGCGTGTGATAGGTGAAGGATATTGCGACCAAAACTTGAATACGGAGGTACATTGTGATGAGGAATCTTCCTGTGCTCGCCAAAAAATTCCATTCCGGCTGCATTCTCCAGAATCGCAAAAATCGAGAGTGACCTTATAATTATGAAACGCACTGTATAATGGAAGGCCAGATGGGTAGTGAAGTTCAACTTAGCACCTAACTAGATAAAAATTTCTGTTTGTACTAAAAGTATGAGGGTACATTGATGGTCCAATGTCCATCCATCATACCTTTTCACGGTAAGATTTGCTTCGAAAAATAGACATAGGTAAGGGTTTAACACGTGGCTGAACACTCTACACGAGAAATCGCTCGCGGCCGTTCATTCAGGCGTATCGGAAAATTCGTCCAAAGCAATGCCGCCTACCGCTCAATTTAGACCACAGATCGTCTTTAATCATTACCAGCTCAGCACAAGAAGAGCAGCTCGGCTTGTCTTGAACTCTTCTTAAACTATGAGCCAAGTTCGCGCTCGAATGAATTCACCTTCTGGCGTTCGATCCGACCGAATGAGTCCATAAAACGAGAAAACTCTTAAGCTTTTTTGCCTGAGTCCCCAGCATAGGTTGGCAAGCTTGGGATTCGCATTTGGAAACACAGCTACGGTATGAAGTAAAACACCATTTTTTGAACAACCGCTGAGTACCAATGAACAATATAATATTAGATATTTCCTGTCAAGGTAATATCAGCCGGGCATAGGTGGTATAATGACAAGTGGCGCACCATCACACGCGTACAGTTTGATGATGGAGTCCCGGATCGATGCTCGCCCAGATCTTATATCCAATCTGGAAATATAAACTACCAGAAACTGGACGCCAAGGACTTCATCCTATCCTTCAATCTTCGCTGATGAATAAAGTTCAACCTCGATGGTCCAGACCGAGAAGGAACAGTCTAGGAGTCACCTTAATGGGGTGGGGTGGTTTTGTATATACCGGTAAATTAGAGCTTGTCTTTTTATCCTACTGTATGGATCATCATAGTCATCAAGAATTGCTCCAGCTTCGCCCCCCTGATGTATGTATGTTGCCTATGTTGCCCTGATCGTAAGGTCACCGAAACTTATGTAGAATGGGTTATAGTATGGCGGAATCAACCTCAACAACCGGCACTATAACAGTATGTCTGTGTTGGGGACGGTAATATTGTCTGCGAGCTGACTAATGCCAGTCTCGTTCAGAGCATGTCATATAGATTGTTCGAACTAATCAGGTGGAGGAGGCACGCTGATCATTCCATTCCTTCCTTGAGTCTCGATATACAGCTCTTTAGGCGTCCTTCGGGGGCCAATCTTGGCGTTGAAATCACCGACGATGATCTTGATGATCGTATTGTTCTCTCTGTGAAGCCTTCGCAAGTTTACGTGAAATATGCAGCCTCTCTTCTTTGTAGCATGATGTTGGTTGCGGGCCACGAAGATTGCTAAAGCTGAGGTTGAGTCACATCGTCTCAGTTATGAACGTCCGATACGGGTTGCCAGTTGATGTTGATGGCCGAGCGCGTGTTGACGAAGACACCTACACCGCCTCTCCTGTCGCGTGCACCTGGAACAGTTCCTTTCCACTCTCAATAACAGACTGCAGCGCGTGATCCATTCTAGTCTCGTCTGTCAGATGATGTCTTGTCTTGAAAATAAGAGCCCTGCCTTGCGTTATCAGATTTTCGATACATGCTCCCGTTGCAAGCGTGTCGGGCGGATTGCAAGCGTCGGCGTCAAGATCACAATCTTCGAACTTCTTTTTGGCAGCCTGGCAGACCCTGATATCTTAGCAGCCTCTCCCGAAGCGGTCAAGCCCTACGCTGTTGCATACACTCAAGCAGCTTCGCAGATCTGAGGGTATGTAGACTCCGGGTAGGGAGCCACTCTGGGGTTGCCAGACTGAGGGAGGAAATGGCTTATTCGTTAGAGGCGTTCCCAAATCACCTCCCAGTCACGAACAACGCAAGCTTCCGTTTCAACCGTTTCAAGGTGCAGATTACCAACCGTACTCGTACTCACCACGCGCATGCACGAGTATGTAAGCGAATAGAAAGAACGTACAAGTGGACGCACCACACCGGAAACAGCAAGCCCATATCCTGAGTCTTTCCGCGCTTCTGAGCAACTCCCGATTGCCGTTGACCCGCGAAAGATCTGATCATAGACCAGCCACGCTGATCCAGTAAGTTTTTTCATCACTTGCCTGTATCTTCCAAACCCTAGCGAAGTTACAATATAAATCGAAGGATCGAGCAGAAAATTCACTAGGCGATTTTATTTCTTCTAGTATTCCTTTTCATAATTTCTCTCCGTTAGATATGGCGCATTCACGTTGTTTAACACATCCATTCAATTTCGGCATCAAACTTGTCAGCACTTGTGTTCACTTTAGAATGCCGAACACTATGTAACGAGAACCCTACGAAAATATTTTTCTGCCCACCACATTATCGGTGTCTCGCTCTGCGCGACCTTTTTAACCTTCGATAACCTTCTAGAACCGCTGTAACCATCGATAAAGGTGTACAATATTTGCCCCCCCCCCCTGTGACCCGTGATAACCCTTTGCACGATTTCTTACCTATGTGACTTTGCTAATCATGAAGTCTATTTGCCACCCCTTGACCTTCGATAAACCACTGGTTTGTCAGCCCGTACCGGCTGGGTATACACTGGCGATACGGGGCTTTTTGTGCTTACAATAAATCTGCACATAGCCACTGTGAAGGTACACACCACCCGAGATAGTGGTAAAGGATAGCGAGCCACAAACTGAGCAACTCTTGTTCCCAAACTGGGACGATCGGTGACTGCAACTAGAAAATAGGGGGAAACCGGGTTGCCTAGGAATCACATTCCTGGCAACCTCTGTGCTTTAGAGAAAAAGCGTCGAACGGAGCATTTGAAAAGCATTGTAAGCTACGAAACAGATGTTGAGTCTGAAAGTAGCGTACCCTCGTCTTCAGTTATGGCCTACGATTTCTCTCTCTCAGGAAAGCAAAATGTAAAATTATCCGACACGGAAGGACAGCATATTTACTCAAGATTTTTCGCTTCACATGACTTGCATCAACAGCCAAACAGCAACATGCCCACGTGACAAATTTCGTGGCGATTAGAATGAGTTCAAATCAACAGGATCTTCGCCGCGCAGGTGGTCGCGCGCACCTTCCCATACCTGGTGGAAGGGGTGGCAGAGCGACAAGGCGAATTTAAACGTCCTATTGTGCACTCACAACTCGTCCACTTGATCCCCATAGGTAATACTCATTATAAGTTCCACTTGTAAAGATGCCGAAGGCATGACCTAGCGGCAACATGAGAGTGCTATCAAGTAGGTAACTTAAGCCTTGCTGTTGGCGCGGTGCGCCCTTTCATCCTGTATCTTGATCGCACTTATACAGTGAACAACCATGCGGTATCTGGGCACATTTATGTGTATATAAGCCTGCAGATTTGTATATTATTGTCGGTTACCTTACTCGTCGTAATAAACAAATTACACGTGTACGGTACAAGACCATTGGACTATCAAACGTCCCCTGATGTGTTATACAGAGCAGGCGATCGTTTGGGACGGCCTTTTGCAGCCACGTTGCCACTGGGGCACATTGGCTTCGATTGAAGCCATGTAACGCAATTCCTGCGTTTACCAGCTCGTCCAATTCATTCAGCCTCTCAATTTACCTTCAGCTATGAGTCAAATCAGATTTGCAGCACATCCAGGTGCGAGACGACCCAAGACCTAGAGCGAAGACTCAGGTGTCATTAAACTTTCAAGCATCATTAGTCTAGTAGGAAGTGAAGAAACTGACAGAAACGCGGCTCTTACAGTAATCCGGCACTTTTTAACCCATTGACGACCATAAAGTCCACATGCGGATTGCAGTTGTATACTTTGTTTTATTTATCTATACAGTGCGTCGCCAAATGATACAGCCACCTCTGATTTTCCCAAAAACTCACAGTATACGATGTTTCTGAAAAACTGCCAAGGAGAGAAAGTTGCAAAGTCAATAATCAGCTGACCCACCATTCTTTCGAATTACTTTGATAATACGGTGGTCTAGGCTTGGATAAAAAAATTACCGGCCAGCTACTGGGCAACTTGGTGCCATTCTCCGACTAACGCTTTTTTCAACTCCTCGTCGCCTCGGAATTGCTTGTTTTGTGCGTAGATCTTCCTCACCATGAAGCCCCACAATTTTTCCATCAAATTCAAACCGGAGCTGTTCGCTGGCCAGGGCAGAAGTGCCGAGAGAACCAAGCTTGGGTGCTCCTGCTGACGTAAATTGGAGCGTTATTCTGCATAAAAACAATGTTTCGGTGCAGATTCTGACGCCAAGAAGGGAGAAGTGCACGGCGCATAACAGTTCGGCAAAAGGATGAGCTCGCCTCCTTTGATACAAATCATAAACGGGTAGGCTTACTCGATGAAATTGTGGCCCAAACCATTACTCTCATCCCTTGAAGTTGCGTCTAGAAAACTGAAGTTTCTTTTTTCTCAGGTCGTGCCAATGAAATCGGTTCCCGTCTGGACCATCACAACTGGACTTCTTTTCATCAGAAAAACCGACTTGAAGAACAAAAATTATCAAAAGAAGGAAGGTCAAATGTCAGCACATGAAGAACACCTTATTCCACTCGGTTCGGCTGCACCGTCTGGCGAAAGCGGCCCGATTTCCTCGATGTTTTTTGTCATGAAGGACGTCTTACGCATTTTCCGCAACAAAATGAACTTGGACTTTCTGATCACCTTCCAAACAGTGCTTTTTGAGACAGAAACGAGCGGATTTCCATACAGGACTTAGTGGAGTTCGATGCTTCCCTCAAAGTATGGCACGTTTCTCTGTCGAAAAGCAGCGAAGGACGTCCAGGACTTCTTTCGGTTTATCATAGGCTTCAGGATTTTGACGAAGTTATCCAAAACTGTGTGACATCGACCCAAATCTCGCGCGATTCTGCAATTTGACAGTCCCTGCTCTTTTATCGCGGGGATTTGACCTTATTCGAATTCCGAAAGCAAATTTCTCTTCCCATTGCCTGAAAATGAAGAACATTACATAATTGAAGCAATTTGTTGCGTTGAACTAAAAAACGACACGAATACATGAAGTGGCTGTATCATTTGGCGACGCACTGTAGTTCCATTTTTTGCGATTTTTCTTCACAAAACATTACATCAGGTCTAACTGAAACTACATAAAGCGTGATCCTAAAAAATCTTCTAATTTAGCAATTGGAAAGGCGTTTTTTCGAAGGAGTATATTACCTTGGTGAATTGTTCGCTGAACAACTTAAAAATGAGATATTTCGAAAAGACGGTCGTCATTAGCATTTTCGCTGTCATCGACCAAATGCAAAGCTCGTAAAAGTTCTCCGGAACGATTTCTGGTAATGATTGAACTCATAATTGAATGACCACTAGACTAAGTGCCGGTTCTATAATAAAGATCAATAATCACTCAATGTGGGCACTCTTATCAAACCCATTTGAAGGAACATTCCAAAAATCTATAAATATCTCTTATAAACCTCAAAAATCGTAAGGCTGGACCAAGAGAGTGGACGAAAAGCGCGCCGGCCCTCGCGGCGGTTTTCCCGCTAAACGCCATGGTCGTCGATGTGTAAATACGCAAATTCACACCCGTCACATATAAGACGCGTCGAAAAGGGACTTTAGGCAAGGACACGGGGGTGAGTGGTGGAGAAACTAGGGGGCTGGCATTGCACCAATCCATAGCCAGACTACTGTAAGAGCGGAGTGCACGTACTGAATGTTCGTTTCTGTAAGAAAGTGTAAAAGTTATATGGATAGCAAAATAAAATCTTTCGAGAAAAAAATAAGTTACTAATACTAGTACCTTGAGTAATTACTTCACTTACTGCATATTTAAAGCTCTTGCAAGCAAAAAATGCGCTGGAGCAGTTTTTGGAACGGGACATTCCTAATCAACTGTTCACCAATCTCGTTTCCCAGTTCTGATTTCACCAGTTGGCCTGCGCATGGTACCGTGCGCGTCTCATGTCTTCTGATAAATTGATTTCATCCAAGATAATCTGGAGCGTATTCGTCTTAGCAACACAGTAACCGCCCTCTTCCGAAAAAATGGACAGTACCGTTCTCCCATCCCAACTAATAGCTTTAGACTCCGCTATTTTTCGTTTATCGAGAGCGCGCATTCCTAGCAAACTGCAATTGGCAATCATTTACGTTCGTTCATCCATATACTAACCGAGACAATGCAAAAAATCAAGAAAGGACCTTGAAATCAATTAATTTCTTGTTTACCCTTACCATTGGGAAGACCCGTACTTTACTGCAGATGAAATGGTTATTTATTTGCGTTTTTGGTCATTTATCTTTGGCACCATTATGAATTGTAGCCTTAGTTGTTTTGTGCTCTGGTTCATGTTTTATTGCTATGGCCTCACACGAATGTCTTCGTGTAATGAATCAAATCAAATCTGCACTTGTCGCAGTAGGCACTTGATAGCACCCCAATCGACGAACTCGTTAGCCGGTATATTGTTTGATGTCTTCTCCGCAAAAATCATGATAAGCAGGTCCAAATTTACTATTCTAGAGCATAACCCGCCACAAGAGGTCAGAGTCTAGAGCTGCCACTTCTCATTAGTATTTCCTTCCTGCAGCCTACATCTCTACCAAATTTGAACGCTCCAGGTCCAAATTTACTGTTTTTGAGGAAGCCACGCCCACAGTGGGCGGAGTCTACACGTGTCACCTGCATTAGCTTTCCCATTTTGCCGCCTGCATCTCTGCCAAATTTGAATACTCTAGCCCCAGCAGAACAGGAGTTACAGATTTCCGGTGAACTATAGCTTTCGCGCACGTCCCGCCCCTGGTGGGCGGAGCTAGCTCGATTCACGTGTACCCGTGGGCTCATTCCCTACTTGTTCCATCTTGTCTGAGCTGTTCCAGTTGATTTCCAAAGGGCGCCATATAAGATAGTGTTACAGAGAAACTGACAAAAAGACAAACAGACATTTGGGATTTATATATAGTAAGGATAGCCTTTACCGAGAATCGCAGCGGATTTAACCATTACCCGATCTCCGGTCAGAGAAGAACAGCCTTAAGAGTGGGCATAAAATGCTATCAAGAAATGCTGAGTTCAATTGGAGAGAGAGAAAGCTCAGG